ACTCCCAGAATTCCCCAGCCAGCCATGCTGGCTGGAGAATTCTGGGAGTTGAAGTCCACACATCTTAAAGTTGCCAAGGTTGAGAAACACTGATCTAGACTCTGATCTCAAACGTTTTCTTTAGATAGCAATAATGATCTTCAAGTCTTTGAAGGGTATTTATTATATTCAGGCCAAAGTTCAAACTATTTTGATATGATACTAAACAAAAAGAAACAGTTCAAACAAGAACAGTTGACCTTAACTTGGAGCTCAGGGACTTTTTTTTTTTCCTTTGCTTTTAGATTACTCTTCTAAGAGGTTCAGAAGCGTGTTAAATTCCTCTTCTTTCATGGAGGGACTTTAGTCAATCTGTGTTCAATTCTCCTTCAGTTGTGGTTCTGGGTATATAGTTTTGAGAAGTAAATTAAACATGTTTGCAGTTTTCACTGTATTGCGCAACATGTATGGTTACAAATAATTACCAAGCATGTGTAAGGTTCCATTTTAACCCATGCCACATATGACTCTTTAACCTAGATTACAGGTTTCACATGTTACCATCTTGGATCAGGATAAACCAGATGCTCTCCTTTAAAGTTATCATACTGTATTTATGAGAATAAAAGATGGCAGCTGTTTTGAGTTTACATGGCACAATAACCCTATAACCTTGCTTAAAGAGTTCCATTTGTGTGTGGTTGTAAAACAAGAATTGTAATTTTATCATGTAACCACAGACAAAATGTATTTCTTCCAATGAAATATAACATTGTATATAGCTATATCAATAGATCCTTAATAGACCCTCAACAACAACTGTATTTAAGTTATGAATTACTTTTTTGAAAAAAAAAATCTAAGCTCAGTTTACAAGATGTGAATCCCACTAAAGTGCAACATTTAAGTTGTGCTTTATCAGCAACAAAAGTAATGCTTCTGATCTCGTAGCCATGATCTTCCCCCTCACCCTTACTTGGCTTTAACCATGGCATAGGATGTGGCATCTGTATCAGCAGAAATCTGATTGAGAAAGAAAGTTTGTTAACTCATAAATGCAGACTAGTTACAAACTTAGAAAAATCTAGTTTTTTATAGCCATGGTTAGTCCTGATGCAGAATAACTATCGGTTCACATAGCACGATAATGTAGGTTTCTTGGTTTTGGCTTAGCACAATGTATACACTCTGCAGTATTGCTCCATGGTTAAGATAGATGCGATAAATGGGCACAGAATACAGAAGCCTCATGAAAGGCAGTGGTGTCTTAGGTTATCAGAAATGCAATGTGTGTGCATCAAGTTGAGTATTGCCTGGCACATCTCTTTGATGAGAAAGTTGTTCTTTGCAGTAAAAGTGATCAGAATTTGCTGCTGATGTGTAATTAACTTTCTGTATATAATTGTATTTGTTTATTTAATGCTATGCTGTCTTTTTCCACTCAGTTTCTTAAAATTTTGTTTGTTTCTCTATTCCAGTTTTACTGTCTAATTTTTTAAAAATAAAATTTAATTTGTTCCTCCTCAAAAGAAGACTCGGCAGCTTAATGATGGTAATACAACCAAGCGTGTAATACTTACTTTCAAAAAGTTCACCAGAACCCATAGAACATTAGTCATCAACATTGGCTGTCCTTACTGGTTGTTTTGGGAGTTTTAGATTAAATGTATTAAGAAGGTTCACAAAAATTTGTAGATGTTTAGAATTATATGATATACTGTACCAATACTATGGGTGCATTTGCATGACATACAAGTCAAGGTGCCATTGTTTACCCACATCTGTAGTTCCTTAATTGTTGTTCTTCATCATGGTCTCTGTGATGCAGACAGATGGTTTATGTGCATGAGTAAAGCCAGGTTCAGAGCCTACAACTTACAAAATAGTTTGGTGGAAACTCCATTTTAAGCATCTCATGACAAGTCTCTTAATCTTTCCTCACCTCTTCTTAAAACTCAGAATTGTTCATCAGGATGCCTTCCCTTCCCTTTGCTCTTAAAGCCTTAAGGTTCCCATTTCACAAGTGAGAAAAGAGTGGGAACAAATCCCCTCTCCCTTTGCATGGCATATACTGCCTTCTTTGCCTTGCTGGAAGTGACACAGTAAACTCTTGGAAGCATCAAACAGGCTTGTCATAAATGTTTTTGTTTGTAAGCCATCTTTGGGAACTAGCTTTAAAGACAGCAGACTCTAAAACCATTCTAGCCCCATTTTCTTCTGTAAGCTCAAACATTTCCTGGGTCTTCCCAAAATTGTCTCAGGGCTCTCTTTTCTCTCAACAGATCAATCAAATTCTTCACCCACAGATGATTCTCAGGTCTCTAATCTACCGTTATTGGCACTGAGTTAGACTTCAAAAATTAAAACCTATCAAAAAGTCTACCCTATTTCAGCCAGGGCAGTGGATAAAGATGCCACTTCTGGCTCCAGCAGCCTTGACAACAATGGCCTTCTCCATCTTGGCTGCTGCCAGTCCTACTATAGATGGATTCTCCATTTCATCCTGGCTCTTCTTCGGGCATAAGAATCAGTATCACAAGGGGAGATGCCAGACAAAACCCCTTTGATCTCAATACTGCTCTCTTATCCACTGGAATAGTCAGAACCAAGACCATCTTCATCTGTCTTGTTTGAGACTGTAGATGGTCAGTTGAAACATCATGCTTCCTAAGGGGATGTCTTAGCTTTTGGTCAGTTTTGTATTGTTCTGTTGTTCTAGGGTAAATCATCACCTTGGCAATAAAGCTTTTACAGTTCCAATCCATGGACCTGTACTCCTTGGAATAACACAGGACTGAGGTATACTATTGCACATACTGGCCTTCCACTCCATATTCTTGAATTTCATTGTACCTTGGATTGATGACATGACTGATGGCTTTTGTAAACCTCAATCTCACTTCATCTCCAAGATTTCAATCTGAGTTCCCGCCTGGTGTGACTTCTTCCTCAAATATTAGTATCTTATTCAAATTCACAGCAGACGGATTATTCATCAGTAAGGTTGATGCCCTGGATATGGTTCAAAGGTAGTAAGCAAATAAGCATACTTCAGCATTAAACCTACTTCATCACTCCCACTCCTACTCCCACAATTATATTACTCATCCTTACACATGGCCATCAGTCTTGTCAATGGAAATGGTACTGTTCCATACTCAAGGGCTCTTGCTGGATATCAGCACCTTTGTGCCAAGCACAACAGAACTGTATGGGCCAGCCTCAGGGCTCTAAGTGACATCTTTGACCTCTGTTTCCCTATGCTGGGCATTTGGGGATTGCTTTCCTCACTTGCCAGGTATGTGGGTTTCTGTAATTAAAATCTTTGGGCTCTACTGATCATTTTGCAAAATTAACCATATTAAGTTCTGGACTAACCCTGAGGCTTCTCAGGTATCTGCAGTTAGGTCAGGAGCTTCACTCTTTCTACAAAAGGGGGCAATTGAGGGAGTTTTTCTAGAGGAAATGTGCCTTTTCAAGGTATTTTATCTTGCCAAAGAAAGATGGCAGGCTTAGTCCTATATTGGACCTTTGCCTTCTCAACTTCCTTCCTTCCTTCCTTCCTTCCTTCCTTCCTTCCTTCCTTCCTTCCTTCCTTCCTTCCTTCCTTTCTAACTTATTTCCGTTCTTGTCTTGCAGAAGAGGATGTGATTCACATCTGTGGATTTACAAAATGCATACTTTCACATATCTACAGTACCTTATCTTTCCTTTGCTCTTTCTGTTGTATTTGATGGATCCATTTACCATTTTACCTGTTACCATTTCACTCTCTGTGGCCCTGAGAGTTTATTCTAAATGTTTGGAACCTGTTATGTTCTTCTCACTCCAAGGTACAGTATCAGTATGTTTCCTTATTGAGATTACTGTCTCTCTTTCCCAACAAAGCTCAATCCCTGGTCCTACAGCATCTTGACCTTAGGTCAATTGTGAAAAACCTTTTGCCTGCTATCCATTTCATGGCGGAAATGATGGATACCATCACAGGAGACTTTGCATACAAGATCTCCCTCTAATGGTCTCCGGAACCTTGCAGATAATTTATGCCAGTCCTATTCCTTTATAAGAGCCCTGTCTCAGATTAAAGTCAGATTATTTATTAATTATATTTTTCATTTTTCTCTTCTGATGGGATAGGATGCATATATGTTTGATTCGGAAACCTAAGTCTTTATGTCATCCTCACAACATTCCTTGATGTATATTTGTCTGACTAGCTTCATTTGACTGGGAGATAGGGGAAGGTGGATATAATGATTTGTGCATATCCAGTGTGTTTCTTTTTTTATATATATATACACATTTGCAGGCATAACTGGCCTCCCATGCTAAGCCATGATTTTATTATGGTTTGCTGGCTAAACCACAACTGGGTTAGCAGCTTACAAAGCATCATGACTAGATAAACACATCTGCTAAGCCATCATTATACATACCACATATTACTTGGCATGTTGTATGACCCATTCCTGAAATTTTTTAAATTTTTTTGGCTACCTAGAACTGATTGTGGAGTTCTTTAAAACTGACCAGTGCTACCAGAATCTATCTATCTTAACAATCTAAAATATCTATGAAGGTGCAAAATGGAAAAGAATTACTTTTCCCAAATATTAGTCCTTCTGACTTTGTGCACTGATGCAAGCAGTTTCATATGAACCTAACAGAAATCACTGACTGAAAGAGTTGTCATTCTGACCAGACAGCTATATTTAGATGAATTATTAGTTTCAAACTCTTGCAACACTTACTTCTGATTGGCCTATCTTCTAGCGATGGCTTTTACTTTCTCTGTACATATAGTTTTTTTATGTGATTCTTTATCCAAAT